TGAGAGAGAGAGAGAGAGAGAGAGAGACGTATTTGTACATACATTTTTAGACAGGTGACCTTGTTCACTTTTTTGTTGGTACAAAATTTTGTCAAATGTATACCATTTTGGGATATATGACTTCTATTTTCATCACTTCTTAAGCTATGTTTTATCCATGCAGTGGTCAGAGAAGAGAGGGGTCCATATTCCGATCCTCAACATCCCTACTTCTACGAGGAAGATGAAGTATGGATGGCACCAGGCTTTATCAATCAATTTTATGAAGTAAATCAAACAATGATCAATTGAGGATTACGTGGTTACTGGTCTATTCAGGAATGTTGATGAATGACATGTTTATGATTGCAGGTTCCGGATTATTGGAAAATGTATGTCCATGAGGTGGATCAAGAGAGAGAGATGTGGCTGAACTCATTCTATAGAGCTCCATTACGGCTACCTATGCCTGCCGAGCTTGAATACTGGTGGTCTAAAGGTACTAAATATTAATTTTTCTCAACTCTCAGTTTATTTATTATTTGTGGTCTTGGTTTCTATTCCAACTCCATCACGGGTTTACAGAAACTTTTAAATAGTTACCTGCCTTCAGTTTACATAAATTTGGGTTATGCTAATTTGTGTTTGTTTGATCAGATGAAAAACCAGAATTTATTCTCATTAATAAAGAACCAGAACCTGATCCTGAAGATCCATCAAAACTCAAATACACGGAGGATCCCCTCATCGTACACACTCCAACAGGAAGAATTATCAACTATGTGGATGATGAAGAACATGGTATCCGCTTATTTTGGCAACCTCCTCTAAAGGAAGGGGAAGATATCGACCCAGACAAGGCTGAGTTCCTACCCCTTGGGTTTGATGAGTTCTATGGACGAGAAGCAAGTGTCAAGAAAGGCAACTGGTGGGAGTCTCTTGTAACATCTGTAGAAAATGCCTGTAGACCAATGTTGGACAAATTGGAGAAATGGACTGAAGAAAAGAAGAAAGACAGTGAGACAAAGATGGAGCTATTGAAGAAGGAACTTGAATTGGTGGAAGCTGAATTGTCTCTGAAGGAGGCCATGGAAGACTTGGATGAGGAATTGAAGAGAATGCAGAAAGAAGCTGAAAAGAAAGTGGAACATGGGCTTGATGAGGATGATATTGTATCTGAAGAAGTAAGCCCATTAGAGAAAACTTACCCTGAAGCTGAAGAGGATGAGGATGAAGATGAGGAAGAGGAAGAAGATGATGCCCCTTCAAGTTTTGGATCAATTGAAGATCAAAAATCGGTAAACAATGATCAGACGGGAAATAAATCTGGAAAGTCGACATTTGCAGCATCCTCCTTAGCATTTGCTACTTCTGGGCTTCTCTCAACGGTAAGTCTGAAATATCGTTGAATTTAGTTGTCCCTTTACTATGTTCATGCTATAGCGTTTCCTTCTTGGGGTGGGGGTGAGAGGGCAATATTTTTCTGGAGAAATTGTTAGATCAGTTAGTAAGGCCACTCCACTCTCTCTCTAAATTCAGCCACGTCAAATTCTAATCAACATAATCACTATGTTGTACATCCCCACAATACTAAATTTGGATATCGCTCCTGACTAATATCATGCAACGTTAAAGTTCAAATTAATAATTTTGTCCTTTGAAGACAGGTTCCATGGAAGTTACAGCAGTCATATTTAAGGTGGAAGGAGGGGAAACTTCAACAGCAGGCAGCTTCGTCGACTATTCCATCATTCCAGTCTCATCAGCTGCCTCCTGAGAGATCGAGTCCAAGTTCCGTCAGCTTTCCACTTGCGACTGGCAGAAGTTGGAGAATGAGATTTGCACTGCAAATAAATCATCAATGTGAACCGATTACCAAGATGCACTTCAGAAATCACTCGAAAAGGAAAGCTTCCATAGAGAAAGGAAGAGATCTAGAGCACAACTTAAACATATTATCCTTGCATACCCCAGTTCTTATGTAGTATCCAAGTGTCCAATCTCTTGACAGGATCAATTTTGTAGTTCCTGCGGTCAATTGTTTTTCCTTTTGAGCTAGCATTTCAATATACACAATGTTTCACTTCAATTGAGTGAATGTGCTATGGTTTTGCCTGACTGACATTAAGGTCAGCAAATAATCTAATGTGAAATTGTTCTGAATTTTACACAATTTTGAATATCTCACCAAGTATTATCGATTGTAGGGTGTGCCGAAAGTAGAAATAGTGAAGCAACTGGAATAGAGCTGAATCTGAAATAATCAACCTTTTTAAGTCGCGCAATGTCTTGAGAGAAGGCATTGAGCATGACATTGTGCATAAACATGAATTCATTGAATTGTAAAGAAAGTGAAAATATATATGTAACTGCTTTCAAATTTAGTTGACAAGCTTAGTTTGTTGTGATCATGCATCGTGCAATCCGTTGCCTCAACATAAGCGAATTATGTACAGAATAGCAATGCATCTAAACCAAATGAGGACGAGAGATTAATGGCTAACGAGACAAACATATACGAGGATGCTGCTCTGTTGCTTGCTCCTCCCATTTTCTTATCTTCAATACATAGATTTTGAAATTTAAGTGCCATCACAATGATGATTTGATTGTATAAATAACTAACCATGACGCGATAGATTAACAAGAAGCAATCAAACTATTAATGGAATTTAGCTATCCAACTATTCAGAAGAAAGGTTCAATAACAATCATTTTAAACCCTTTCATCGGCCCATATACCATCATAAAAATCACTTTTTTATTTACGATTGAAAAAAATTGACGTTCCTATGACATTGACATGATTTTTAAAAAAGTCAAAAAGAGCTTTTAAGATTCAAAACTAGTTTTTGGACTCGTTTGGCTATTTTATGTAAGTGCTTCTTCTAGTTAAAAGATCTTTTAGAGAAAGTTAGTCCGCGTCTTTCTCTAAAAAGCCCTTCGAGAATAGGAAACTCATTTAAAAATTAAATTTCAAACCAAAACTAAAGTAGCTTTATTCAAAAGTTCATCTATAAGAAGCAAAATCAAAAGTCATGCCAAACGAGCCTTAAACACAATAGTTGATTTAACATTTTCAAAGCCATCACTGAATCTGGGTAGGAGGTTTATCTAGCTTGTTTTTGCATAAGGTTCTGTTCAAACGTTGTCAATATAGCCAAAAATTATGCCATGAGCAAAAAGGAACTTCCATGGTGTGTTTGCTTAAGAAGTTCAAGCAACTAGCAGAACACTTGCATTCTGACAATATTATAGCACTCATTAACAATTTTAGATCGAAAATTGTAAATTGAGATTCTCGTGTTATTACCATCTTTTTTCGAACACTTCCAGACCTCCCAAGATTTTTATGGACAACAATATCTAAATGTATTCCACTAAACCATGCAACGATCAAGAACCATATGGACAACATTGTCTGAATATTTTAAACTATATAAAAATCAAGAATCGAATTTCTATATAATCATATTACAGAACCTTTTAATCAACATTTTCACGACCTCCAAAGAATTCATGCAGAACATTCTCTAAACCCGTTGCATCAAACTATGCAGCAAGAGTACTATTCCAAATGTCAACAAGCTATAAGAAGCGGCCATTTTTACTTTGTTTTGGAATTATAAAATAATCAAGTTGAGAAAAACTTCAATTTTTTCCGAAAGTATTGAATAGCAATCCAACAAGTTATCTGAGTGTTCAAATATAGGATAAAATTCCTGAACAAATGTGTTTAATGTGTTAGAATTATAACTATACTAAGAATTGCATCTACGTACAAACAAACTGATGAAAAATTCAATTAATTTGTCACTTCAAAAACTTGTACCACTAAAATTGGGGTAGAAAATTTAGATAACGGTCAAAAAGAAAAAAAGGAAAGGCAAAAAGGATACGATCGCAGTGGGATTCGAACCCACGACCTTTAGATCCGGAGTCTAACGCGATATCCACTCCGCTATGCGATCGGTTTTGCAGTGAAAAAAATTAAAAATAAATATAAATACAAAAATACTTGAATTTGTATGCTCTGAAGCAGAGACGAAGAATAATTACATGAAGAAGACAGATGAAAATAAATAAATAAATAAATAAATAAATAACACAAGGACGAGATCTACAAGAAGCAAATCGATATGTATACATACAAAAATGCATCACATAAAATTTCTGTACCTTGATTCAGTCATTTCAAAAGAGAGATTTCGAGGTTGATGAGCGGTCCATAATTCATTCTCGATTGCAGATTTGCACCTTGCCGATCTCAGGATAGAGAGAGAGGGAGGAGCTAAACATCAACGATTTGATTATTCGTTTTACTAATTGGGGCGAATGTTTAACAAACTGTCGATCAATAAATTGTAGGTTTTCCGGGCAGGCCCAACCAATTAAAGGATTGGGTTGCCCAGATCCAACAACGATAGCCCGACCCATTGATATTTCCAAACCTTATTAAAGTTTGAGGGAGGAGATTGTATTCATTAATGATGTTTAGGCTAGAGCTCGTGGGCATTTTCCCCGAATCCACTGCAATTAGAGTGGAAGTTGAACCTAATTGGGCCATTCAATATAGTTTAGTTAAAAAATTCGGAAAATTTTGTAAATGCCCTACTATTAAAAAAGAATTTACACATTACTACGTAATGAAAATATAATTATAAGTACTAACTTATATGTAAATTATTTTAAAAAAATACTAACTTCTAAATATATATCCCAAATCACATTTGTAATTGACACAATGGCTTTTGTACCTGTGCGGGACAGGGCTTTGTGGTGCCTGCTCTTTATAGCGCTTTGGTGCCTACGCGGAGCAGGGCTTTGATGTGCCTGCATGTGACAGAGCTTTGGTGCCTGCGGGGGACAGGGATTTGTGGTGCCTGCTCTTGATAGGGCTTTGGTGTGCCTGTCCGAGGCAGGGCTTTGATGGTGCCTGCTCGTGACAGGGCTTTGGTGCCTACTCGGGGTAGGGCTTTTGCTGAATATATGTCTGGGGGCAGGGACAACTACTTACAATGAAGCTTCAGGTTGTGATCGTTCCATGAGTCACTTTTCTGTTTAGGCTTGAGCTCGAGCTCTACTAGTTCTTCCACACGGACTAACCTTCCACGATGTTCAAGACACCAACCTCGAGGCTGGGCCCGTAGGTTGTATGCCCGAGGTCCCAACAGCATCAACAATAGAAAGGGAACCTCGAGCTCGACGTTGGCCATGAATTTGCTTTCTAGTGCCGAGGTCAATGGTGTAGGTGTGGTGCTTGGGTTCAGCAGCTGAGTCAAGCTAATGACTTGTTGATGAAGTTCCTCAAATGTTCAAGTGGTGACAAATGTCGGTTGGGGTATTGGTATTTCTGATGGTTCTTCTTGAGGAGTTGGTGGATCTTTAGCAAGTGGATTGCTTGGTATGGATGAACTTGTTGGAGGAAGACCTGAATGTGTATTGACCATGGCTTTTTGTAGCGCTTCCTACAGACGGCGTCAATGATGCTACCAAAAATTGTACCTGGTAGATCTTAAAGTTGCATAAGCAAAAAATAACGATGCCAAATTTTAGGTATTTCAATAGTTGAACAGCTGTATAATTAATTGTTAAAATTTGTTGAGAAATCTGAGTAGTGGCCAATGGCCACTCAGAGGTTGATTTATAAACCAAACCAATGGAAAGATGAGTAGACTGTTGATAGGTGACGCTAAGGGCCCGTTTGGCGACTTTTGTTTTTGTTTTTGGTTTCTGAGAAAGTTATCTTAATTTTTGTTTAGAAACTAACATTTAAAAAAGTTTCCTATTTTAGAAGTACCTATAGAGAATGTCACATTAGAATAATTTTCTCTAAAAGTTCTTTTAACTAGAAGTACTTTTATAAAATTACTCAAACAAGTCCAAAAACAATTTTTGAATCTCAAAAACTCTTTTTGACTTTTCAAAAATCATGTCAAATGAGCCCTTAATAGGTTATTGTGGACCTGTGGTCAATTGTAGCGTGGTTGATTTTCCTTTATCATTTAAAAAGTAACTAAAAGTTACTTTAAATAAAGTAGCAACTAAAAGTTATTAATTTTAAAAATAATTCATAATTTACTACTATGGTGACTAAAACTGACTTGATGATGATAGACCAAGAGAATTTTAAAGAATTTATTGATGGAATATTTTAGAGAAAATGGAAATTCTAGTTAAGTAATTTTTGGTTATGTATTGCAGGAAATGGCTTAGCTTGACCTTATGTGGGGATCGTTTCCCTATTTAGAGGCATAATAGCAATAGCATGCCGTCCTTGGTCAAGTCATGCAACAGTGTCCGACTTCGATCTGTATGCTATCGTCCATTTGAAAGGTTTCAACTTGCAATTGAGTTTGACCAGTCAAGTCATCATTTCACTTAAAACGAAATCTATGGCCTATGTCATGTTGGCCTGCTATTAGTTAATCATTACTTTCATCTGATTGGTGGATGTTATAGTACTGACGTTACACATGTCACTTGTTATTTTTGGAGTTATTGTTTGACAGGTGTTGACGTGTCAGTAGGAGACATTTTCAATGGAAAATGATGATGTTAATTGAAGACGACGACCTTGTGATGGAGTTGACTTTTACTTAGCGATTTTTGGGATTTCTGGAGATCTCCCATTTAGAATCACTTTTGAGGTGCGTCATAGATGGATGTAAATGAGCTTTTAAGCTTAGCCTATTTTTAGAAAACTTCTTGTTGTTCCTTGCAAAGATAACCTAAAATTAAGCCTGCATGAATCCACGCATTGAGTAACAGTCCAACACGCCACCCTATACAGACTCCGACCGCTCGTGTCTAATTATTGTGTTGAATTTAAAAATATATAGTAAGATATGGCGTCTACGGTATAAACAAAAACTGTTCAAAGTACCAAAAATCAAAATTTCTTAGATATTATTGGACTCCTACAGGGTTGAAGTGTCATGATAGAGATCGCAAGATAGAATTAATTTTGATGAAGTGACAAATAAGGTTGGCTAAGGGGATATTGTGGCATTAGCATATAATTGTCAATCCTGGAGTCTAAACTTTAATTCTCTTTTTGTTTCATTAGAGAGTTGAAACTAGATGAGATATTAGATATTTCATTGACATATAAATAATTCGATAGAGTTTTGACTTATTGAAATTAAGATAAGTGCACGAAAATGAGGAAAACGAGATAAAAAGAAGAGAGGTATGTGATTATTTTACAAGATACAGCTGCTCTTTCAAAATTAATATATATAATATCAATTTGTTAGACGAATTAAAACTTGACTGTACTATTTTGTATCAAATGATATTGAATACTATTATATCAAACACTAAAACTTTTTTAAAAAAATAAAATTTATTTGAAAATTATTTTGACTGAATTTAGAATAAAAAGGAGAATTAGAAATCAATTACTTGAAATTGATTTAGAGCATATCAAATGGAATTACGAGGGTCTAATTTATAGATTTCAATGTGTCTTTTCCCCATGGTTTATTTTATGGGACAAGTTCATTTTAACCAATATATCGCACGTTTTAAATTGGAAGATGATCGATGGAGATCACACAATATCTAAAGGTCACGACTCTCTAATATGCACCTATTGTACTTGAAGATTTACACTCAATCGTCGTACCTATTGAAAACTTTTTTCAATCCACACACTTTAGTCGTTATATGCACGTAGATTTAAATAGTCCAAACTTACAACCTCAACTCAAGCTAATGAGAAAACAATGAAGAGATATTAAATACTCCAAAGGTCTTGAGAGTGAATGAATAAAAGTATAATTAAACTATTTCGTTCTTCAAACTACACATCAAAATGTGTTTAATCATATACTTTATAAGCTTCCCATAAATATCTTCATTGTTCCCCTGAAATATAAATTGGAGGTATGTGATTATTTTACAAGATACAGCTGCTCTTTCAAAATTAATATATATAATATCAATTTGTTAGACGAATTAAAACTTGACTGTACTATTTTGTATCAAATGATATTGAATACTATTATATCAAACACTAAAACTTTTTTAAAAAAATAAAATTTATTTGAAAATTATTTTGACTGAATTTAGAATAAAAAGGAGAATTAGAAATCAATTACTTGAAATTGATTTAGAGCATATCAAATGGAATTACGAGGGTCTAATTTATAGATTTCAATGTGTCTTTTCCCCATGGTTTATTTTATGGGATGAGTTCATTTTAACCAATATATCGCACGTTTTAAATTGGAAGATGATCGATGGAGATCACACAATATCTAAAGGTCACGACTCTCTAATATGCACCTATTGTACTTGAAGATTTACACTCAATCGTCGTACACCACAAAATAAAAAAAAAAAAAAGAGAGAGAGAGAGAGAGAAATGAACGCATTTACTTTTAATCAAAATTAAAAAGGCCAGAGTTTGATGACATTATTATTGGATGTTGATAATTATAATGCAAATTAAAACGAGCATGGTATATTCAAAGTTCTGTTCGATAAAAAATAATCAATATGTATCACATGTGACTACTTTAACACTGTTGATGATTATTAGCACCTTTTAGAAAAATTCAACTAAATTGAAATAACCTATTATCTTTATCTTATTCGATTACTATATGTTTAGGTTTGTGTTTTAGTCTAATACACGAGGCTAACCAATCTTTAATCATTTGTTTAATGAGATAGACTGTACACAATTACATATTCTCGAAGAAGAAATAGAAATTAAAATTTCACCTTTTATACCATAAAATTTTCTTCAATAGTAGTGCGTACCAAAACATCTGAATTGTATTTTTAGTGCAATCGAGTTGATTTACTAACTATAATATGTCTAATGGCTAAAATATCTTAAAAGTTGGTTTAGTGGCCATTAAGTCGATTAGCGGGCATAGTGTTATCATTGAAATATGATGTTTTACCAAGAAAGAGTACAAACATCTCGGTGATATATATTCCATTGTCCATATAATCACAATTATCAATTGCTTCATACATAATTTAGTGGTTTTTATTACTTAGGTATTCTTTAATATTTTCATTAATAAAAGGTTATAGTTTTTTTTCTCCTTCGTTGTTTTCGTCTGCTAAATTGAGATTGTTACTTTTAGTATTGATAACAAGCGGAGATGTTAAAGACACGTTTCTTTTATTGGGATTATTGATGAGTAAAATCTACAGATGAATTCGAGCATATTAAAGATGTCGCAACAGATTTTATTGATAAGAATGAATTATTCACTAAATAATATGATTGCCGACCTTGATTTAGATAAATTATTTAAGACATATTACTTGAGACTTTTCGAAAAGACTCACACATTTGGGTGCGTCGTATTATCAGGTTTTCTTTGCCTTCTATCACATTTCAAAGTTCAACACAATCAAATAATCCAAAAAAGCAAAAAGAGCAACATTGAACCTTTGAAAATTGTTCAATTTGCTAATAATTTTGGGTTCCTTCCCCAAAGCCGCAACAAAGACAGCCAGACATGACTAAGTTGACTGTATCTGATTAAATTTTCTATCATCTTATTCTTATCTACGAGAATACAAGTTACATCATGCATAACACAAATTAAGGAAAAAAACATTAAATTTTTCTTTAAATTTTTAAACCTTACTAGTCTTTGTTATCATCATTTTACTTAAGAAAATACTTTAATCGTTATGTCATAAACCAAATATTATTAACTTCTTGTACAGCTAAGTTTTTCTTTATAATTTATCCACAGATGGATCTTATCTTCAGAAATATCTGTCATGCATAGATTCATCTCATCTATAAAGAATTTTCCTCAGCAAAGTAATGAATATTCCTCCGTCAGCCCACTCAATTAAAACTTTATTGACATGAGTGATACCACTGGACCACACATCCAAACTTAGTAAGAGCATCTTCAATCGTGATGTAAGGTAGTTAAAAATTGTGTTTTAAATCTTCGAAGTGATCAAAAACCTCTTCAATAAAGAGATGTAAAGGAAATGTAGATTTTATTATTCGACAGAAAATGTAAAAAAAAAATGTAAATTTACATCTCATTTTACATCCACAATAGGCAAAAAGTAAATTTAGATCTTCTCATCGAAACAAAATTTGAATTTAAATCAACCGAGATATAAATAAAAATGCAAAATTGTTTTTGAATATATCAATTTACTTATAATTTCACACCACTATTGAAGATATTCTAACATCGTCCATCCACACCCCTCGTAAATTTCCAACAGGCGCTTTGTCTATAGGAGAACGTCACATCACCCCCTGTTCGAACAAGGCCAACGTGGCCATGTTTGAAGAGCTTTCTCATTTTAATAATAGGTACAGCAAAGTTGTGAACATCATAAATCGAAGATTTTTAAATATTATATTCTATTCATAAATCAAAATCAATCATTCCAATTATAGAAATTACAAAAATACAAACATGCAGAATTTAGACATTTTTCTTGTTCTAGTACCCCATACTGTCCCGAAATCTTCATTTAGCCTATAAGTCATTTTATTTAAGTACAAACGGAGAAATTTTTATTAATGCTGAAGTAACACCGAACACGTGGTTACAATTTACAATTGAAATTAACGGAAAGTTAACTAACAAAATATATGGTCAACAACTCCGGCCAAAAATATGGCTCGCTTTCTTAATTTCATGGAAAGAAAGGAGGACTTTTCCCAGCACGTGACTCTTGAGGCAATTGTCGTCATGGTCGGTCCAATGCCAAAAGTATACAAATCAAGTGGACACATACATGGCCTTTAATTTTCTGAAAAATATGCTAATACTTAGGTGACATTTAATGGACACCTCACACTTGCCTGTACAAATTCTTAGAACTTAATCTATTTTATTAACTACAAATTGAAAAATGAAATACTGCGACAAATTGAGACTGTAATTCACTTAATTATCCATGAATTTGAGCCAAGGCAGCCATTTCTTCATGGCCTTATCATCAGCTTCCTTTGAACAGCTTGAAGAAGCCGCCATGTTCGCGGCGGAGCTGCCACTCGCCACTGCTGCTGCCGTCCCCTTTGGGCATAGAAAGAAATTTCTGGACCCCAAAGCCATTAGCTTCTCCTTCCTGTCCAAACCTGTCCATGCCAATTAGTTAGTACCTCTTAATACATGTAACTTATTTAAATTATATTGGAATTAACAAATCATAAATCAAGCAGTTCAGAGACAAATTGACAATCCAACGGCTGCGATAAATTGAAAAAAAAAAAAGAAAGAAAAGAAAGTGAGAGAATAATTACTTTCTAAGCTAAACTGGGAATAATGGAGATCGAAGCTAGACGAATCGGTGGAGGAGATAATCGGCCGCCGGCCTTCCTTAGCATACTGTCGTAGAGCCGCCGTAATCAAGTCATCCACCGTAGCATCCGGCGACATCAAAACCTGTACAGCTCCAAGGCTCCTCTGAATCGTCACATTAAGAAGCAGCTTCGTCAGTTTTGGCTTTCCCTGCGCCACCCCTAAATCAGTCGAACTCACCACATCTTTTTTCCTAACCAGCAATTCCGGCACCGTCCTAGGCCTCGGCAACATCTCCGCCACTACACCAGTATTTTTCTCGTGAAACGACATCGCTTTTTCAGATAACCTTCCCTTCCTGTTCTTCTCGTTGCTTCCTTTCCGATTAATCTTCGGCGAGGGCATCTCAATTCTTATATATATATAATATAAATGCTTGCTTGTACACGTATATATTAATCTATATGCCGGCGTACAGTAATTAATCACCTGAGGCGACGGTAGCGGAAAAAATGGAGGCGGGGGAAGCCGAGAGCGGCGGGGGAGAAGGGACTCTCAGTTTCCCGTTTGCCGGCAGCGGACATATATATAAAAGCCGAAGGGTATCACTAGTAATTACAAGAAAAATAGGGCAGATGTTTATGGTGTAAAGAGAAATCGCAGAAAGTGTAGGCGAAGCAGAAGGGTTATTTATATGGGGCTGGGAAGGAAGATAAGAAGATAGCTCCTCGAAGAAATCTGGATATTTCTGGTTTCTAACATTGCATTTACCGTTAACTGGCTTAGCCGGTTATTTTTCATCAATTGAAACGTGGAGTGATTCCAGTGGCTATTAAAGTGGCCATTTACAGCGATTTATAATGTGTGGTTGGTGTACGTAGACTGAACCTAATAAGTAAAAATAAACGCCTATCTCGACCTTCCTTTGCTTGACACGTGTCCCAGACAACCAGTTAAAGCTAGAAATAATTAGCTCATAAATAAACATAAAAGTAAAAATAATTACTTAATAATTTGATTGACCCCCCAAAATCATATTCACATAATTCTTTCAAGTATAAATTATTAATATAATAAATCTAGCGACTCTCGGCTTTCATTCTTTTGCTTGTCGTATATCTATTATATGAAATTCAAAATAATTTATTCGTTAATATACTAGCAAGCACTCTGATTGATTTAGAGACGGGATGAGATAAAATGTGAAGTTGACATGGAAATAGATTCGATACAGTTTCCCATTTTTGCTTGGTCGGTCACATTGTCAAGCAAACTATAACACCAAACCTCATCTTTATAGAATTAGGAATGCCAACATACGTGACTTTCTTGAACATTTTTCCTACTTTTTTGGTTCATTCTTTGATACGTCTAAATTGGTGTGATCTAATTTGGGCGTTCATACCTTTTCAAGAAGTATGGTGTTATGAGGCACAAATTATAGACCTCGTGAATTGTATTTGTGCAATGAACCGGGGTACAAAACCCTCAGTTCACATACCTCTTATAGAGGTCTCAACCATGTGGGGTCGAAATTTTTTTTATCGTTTTTTATTAAATTGGGCCCAACAGTGGGTCAACCTTGTGTGAGAGTTCTGATTTTATTCTGTAAAATTAATTCTGTACAATCAGAATTATACTTCCGCTCAAGAGCAATCAACATCCATCGACCAGACATGCTTCTGCATTTCTTTTTCGTTGGGCACTGGTGCAAATGCAAGTTGGCAAATTGAATATTGCCAATGATTCAATGTCTGTGTGATTTGTCAGCTACTTCCCTTATTATTATTATTATGGCAATAGTAACCTGTACTGCTTAAAACACAGTGTAATTAGTAATGCTCTTTATGAGCTATGCTACAATGACAAATGAGATTTACAAAATTAGGTTATAAAATCAAATATATACCAATCATTTCAAAAACAGATTTTTAAATCATTTAAAATCAAAAGTCCAGATTTTGCCAACACAATTTGGCACTCCACTTTTGTACACCAACTTTGTAGAAGTAGAATTATTCTCATGTTAACGAGCAACAATGAGGTTGAGGGTTGTTGTAGATAAATGTCACATCAATTATCCTCTCCTTGTCAAGTGTTAATCGTCAAGTGTTATGATTACTATCGAGGATAATTTTGCTCGTCCAGGGTCACATGTAGCCCTAAACGAGATGCGTGATCCCACTGTCAATTATCATATTAGGGGTCCTTGAGACACGAAACGTCTATTTTAACCTTTGGCAAAGGCACGATCGATGTGAGCGCTTCTTGCTAAGTGGGGATACAGTACACGTGACATCCATGAGGGGTGAAAGTGTAACAATCTTTCATGTATGACTGAAGTAAATTGTAAACATATGTTAGGTCTTTCACGAGCCTCTCTTGCTTTGTCAACCTTAGCTCCACATGAAGTGAAAGCGTAATAATAACAACAAATACGAACTCACAACATATGGGAACCTATAAATATTTGGCCGAGGCAAGGGTCGAACATCAATAAATGGAATGATGCTTATCATCCTCACAACAAAGAATGCATATAAACATACAAAGTGTGCGTAGAAATTCACCTCACATTGTACGTTCCAAAATCAAAATAGACTTGCCCAGAAGCCCTTTTACCACCACTACAAGCCAAAAACGATAGAACTTTGAAAAAAATAAATAAATAAATAAAATCAAGAAATCCCATTGTAACTCAAGAAACCATAATCGACCTTCGAATATTCCACAATTTTCTATGTGCAGATGCAGTATGTTACAGTTCAGCTAATTTGCAAAGAGAAAGTTGAAGAAAAGTTGAGATTTTTCCCCAGCTTTGAGAGAGAGAAGGTAGTGTTGGGTTAACAAAACTGCCCCTAAAAAATTGTCCAAACCCACAACAATCGCGTAGTTGACAAGAAAACTAATGCTCATCCATCAAAGAAGTCGAGTGCACATAAATGAAAGTGTGAGGATCAAAAATTGGGTTTGATTTTTTCTGTACTAAATGAAAAGGGAAAAGGTTGTAATTATAGATATACATATAGGCATATAGGAGCCTTGTCTCCAAGGACAACTATACATTTCTACATAAGATTGAAAAGGCGCGCACAAAACTAAGAGCTATATTGAACGAAAATCATCTAAACGAACAAATTGTACACGAGGTTGAGGTCCATTTGCACAAAAATCCCAGAAACATATTAATAGCTTATTGTAGAAAATGATACATACAACGAATCATCAATTAATGAAAAATAAGAAAAAATATTTCCATCCTCATGCACAAAACCTAAAACATACTATAAACACACAGGAAAAGATGGAGACTAGTCCACAATAAGTCAATAACCACCAACTACAACTGGATACTGTAAACAGCAAACGAAGTGTATGAAAAGAAGAATGAAAACAACATGCTCTTTTTTTGGTGCAAGACGACTGCTTTCATACCATATCTATGGTCGTTGAAAGACGTATTTTGTCCTTGGATCAACAATAAGGCCCTTCCCTCCATTTACTTCTAAATCATGCCTGCATCAATGCTCTTAAGGATAAGTTAAAAGGGTAAATTATTGAAATGAACAACGAAAATGATTAATAAGAAGTGTGAAAACTCAACTGGAACACAAAATCTGGAATAGTTAATTGCTCACGGGGAACATATTTGAATAGTTGTAGAAGACGATCAACGTATAACACCTTCTTCCAAACCTAAAATCAGTTTCGAAAATTTTCATAAGCTACAGAGAAAGATATGAAGTTACTCGGAATTTAGATTTGCTATTCATTTATTTTTCTTGGGAAGAGAATTGAGATCAGTCATACCACATTATCCACGAACATTTGCATTGCAAGAATTGCAGATTTCAGCCCAAAGGTTGGATGTAGAACATAAATTGCCTACACCATGAAAAGAGATATTAATTAACATCCAGATGGGTATTGCACAGAAAATCATAGACCATAGTGGTGGTCGGAGGATGAATCTTGCACGGCTTACATGCAAATTATGCTGGTGTTTTCGGCCAAGTATTTGCTGTAATCTCTTCATCCATCCAAGATCTGGTTGCCTGTTTACACAAATCAAAACTATTGAAATGAGCCAAACTTTATAATGTCTGGTCAAGAACTTTACACCAAGAGCATCTGCAGTAACTTAAAAATTTTACTTGTAAATTTGCTTACAAGTAAATAAGTCTTTTTATAAATATTAACTGTTTTTAATTTTATTTTAAAGTTGAAATAATCAAGTTACTAATTTGACAGTGAGGAAGAGTTACTTCAAAAATCTTTTTAACTTTATGGAATAAGTAAACACCCTAAACTGCGGACAGTGGAAGTCAGAAAACTTTATATTTAGTGCCAGCCAGAACAGCACAAAAATCCATCCATCTTTCTTTAAAATTCAAGCCTTTTTCAGAATACACATATGAATTAGAGAGAACATATGAGTTTTAGATCAAAGAACCAATACCCCAACATAAGGAAAACGATACCAAGGGCAAAAGATGGTGAGGAAAGTATACTCACGACTGTAATGATGCTGCGGAATGGAAATAGACAATAGAATAAGGCTTCTGTATCAAGGGCTCAAACTCCTGAAAATGCAATGTAAAAAATAATTATTTGCTGCAATAACACGAGTACAATTTCAAGGAAAATGAGAGCAAGCCATGACAAATTAAATAGCATGAGAAATTCTGAAAATTCCATTGAGAACACTTGTAATTGTTAACCTTTACTACATACAGCACAAATCGCTCTAGATCAAGACATCTTAGCAGAAAATGTGCTCCCACAACAACTATCACTGGACGACCTTCACTGTCAACCCCACCTCGGTAGCTGAAACAGAAATAAGTTGTCCACTGTAACTTTTGGAAATCAATGCAGTTAACTCAATATTGCTGATTTATGAAAATCAAACAGAAATGAAGAGAATGCTTCAAACATTTGGATGCCAAAGTTTAAGTGCAAAAGATAATTCTTCCCTGAGCTTATTATGGAAAATGTACCCATTTTTAATATCATGAAACAGTACCCCAATCAGCCCAACTAGAGTGATTAAACTTCACACATGTTGCAGATTTAGTTGGGTGGGGGGCCTCGTGAAGATTCCTAAAGCTTGGAAGAAAAGGAAATCAACCTACAAGCCCCAAAGGACTTTGCTAGACATATTTGAGTTTAGCCAGTTCATTGTAGCCTAAAGTAACAGTAAGATATAGCACATAAAACAATCACATTCTCAGAACAAATAAGATCACAACAAGCATTCCAAATAGTTCCTTCAAAAACTTCATATTAGCAAAATTGATGAACACAGAAGAAAGGTATCATAATAATCGGCATCTAGTTTAACATTTATCATTGATTTCAATTTTAGCTAATTGTGCTCCATGATGATTACAAAGTTGATGTGAAAGACTGCAGAAGTTGAAAAAATATAAGTTTAAGAAGCTATTGGACTTAACACATCAAGGAAGTAAAAGAATAATTAACACGCATTAACAGAGATGCTAGTTGGCTTACACAATTTTCATTTCAGCAATTTCAGAAAGATTAAGTGAATTTGCTTTAGCAAGATATCTAGAATGAAGTGAATATTCTTCAGCAGCAGATAAAGGTGGGACCCCAAAGTCACCATATCCAAGCATTTTAGCAAAATTCCAACCACTTTGTGTATGTGCAGCCTTTTCCCATTGTTCTTTGCGTCGCTGATC